CGGCTGTCGGGGGAAGGAGCGAGGAGAGCAAGCGCGAGAAGAGAGAGAGAGAGATTATAGTGAGGAACGAAGAGGCGTGAGAGCGTACGGAGGCCTCGAGGATATTTGGACGACGCGAAGCGTCTCGCACATGGGCGTGGATTGGGCGCTATATCGTGACTGTGGCGACGTGGATCGCCGCAGAGGGATGTTGGGTGTGAACCGAGTGTTCCATATGGCTTCGGTTTGCAGGCCGTGCTAGCTAGGGGGTCCAAGGAGGCATGGCCGCGCCGTCCAGGAAATTCTATCAAAAAAAATTCAGGGCAGACCTGGGTGGCATTCTGCGGTTGTAGGAATTCTCAATGACGGCACTCCTTAGGCACCCCGGGTGGTTATGGCGAATAGGATCTGGGCATGCAAACACTCCAGTCTGTATGCATGTCTCTCTGGATGGCTCTTAATCAATTCGGTAGGTATAGGTGTGGAGGGTGGGGAGGAGAACGCCATCACCTACCGCGAAATTGGAGTCACATGTCAAGAGTGCAGCCACTGTGGAGGCGAAATCAGGGTGAACGAGAGTACGAGAGCAATCATGCAAACGGATCCAGTTTCTGCAGAGGGAGCATGGGCTCTGAACGGCCGGGTGAAGAAAACTTTTTTGTTTTCAGCAGCTGCACACTCGGCGACGTGATTGATTACCACCTGTACGTACTTGAAAGGGACCGATGAGAATGCTACTTGTCCGGCTCCACGTGGCCGAAGGGGAGTCGAAGCTGTCAGAGCAGACTTAACTACAATTTGTTGGATGGAAGAGAGGACGGATTTATGAAGGACCCGATTCTGGCTAGTGAACAGTCGCTCAATAGAGCATCCTGGGATCGCCACTCTTGTTTGGGATCCCAAGATCGAGGTCTGATTCAGTGAGTCTTGAATCCACGAATGGGATCGTTGTCGCGAGGCTATGTGTAGTAGTAAGACGCTCTCCGCTTTTAGGTTCCTGATTCTGATCTCTGGGGCCTTGACTACTAAAGCGTGTGACAGTCTCCCTCAGTACTGGCTTACATGTTGGATAATCGCTGTGTGTGGGCGGCTCCTGCGCCACGCATATATTCAATCTATACACCATAGCGTTGATTATAATGGCCTGAGCGAAGTTCTGTACATAATAGCAACCTCTAGCGGTCCTCTCGATATCTTAACTCTGGACTCAGCCCTTATCGCGTGTTAATCTTACCTTCCGTGTCAGACCAGTAGGTATCAGGCAAAGCCTATCATGAGATTATTTAGATTCGTGTCTTATTAGTAGTCATCCTAGATCAGTACGTGGGCCTGAGCCAAAGAACCACCGACACCCCTGGCAGGAGGGGGGCACGTTGGATTTGGGTTGCCAGTGAGTTTATCAGAAGAATACCTGGCTACAGTAGACGTCAGTTGAGCGTGTTGCACACCACATGTTCTGACGTGACACTGTCCAGCTAGAAACGTTTCCTGTTGGGAAGTAATTCATACCACTTTACCTGCAACTACAGCTCAGTTAGAACTTTCAACTTATATCCTGTCATCTAATACCTGTGTGAAACAGCTGGCACTGGTACAGTCCGAGTCAGTCAAATATATATATGTGTATAATATGATATATATGTTATTTCTGTTATTGCCCTTTCACTTTCATCAGTAACATTCGATTAATTTTGTTGCTTACTTCATCTGAAGAATTGACGTTAAGGATGGTGAGCAGAAAAATATGAGCTTCTAGTTGAAGTTCTACTGATGATGTGCCATGTATCATTTAATTTCTAATTTTTGTCAAATTACAAAAGAGAATTGAGTTTCAGAGCATTGATTGATGACTTAAGACCAACCTACAACCTGAATGACATGTATTGTATGCGCGAACGTGTTATTTGCGAAGTTTTCTTGAATTTACATCGAGAATTTGGGTGGCATAAAATCGATGCCAGCTTCCTAACGAAGAGCTCTATTTGATTAGCCCTAAATTTAGCCGAGTGCTATTCTTCTGTTCTAATGGATTAATCCTACGATGCCAGGAAGAGGCTGATAAACTGCACTAACGAAATACTTACACATTGTGCAAGCAGATATTTTTTTTATATATGTCACTTAATATTTCCGTCAATCATGCTCTTGTCATTTTATTCGCGTACAGCAGATAAAGTACCTATGCAGTGCAGCATAATTTGAACTTGCACAGAGCCTGTACCGCGTATACAGCACGCACACAGCACAACATAGCTATACAGAACCTATATATACCATGTATTTATTATGACAGTATGGTATTTATATATACCATGATCAGGAGTAAATAATTTTTCATTCTTTATAAAATATTCTGAAGTGATGCCAGAATCTGATGAGGAAAAACGTGGGAAAATGAAAAAAACAAGCAGTATCAAACTTCTTTGAGATTATTTACCACTGATATATATATATATCAAGAGTAGATAATAACTAGAGATTTTATAAGATGTTATAATCTATGTTATAACATATGTTTGTTATAATATGTTATTAATTAACTATATTATTAACATATATTATTAACATATATTAATATTAAATTAACATTATTATAACATTATTATATTGACATATATTATTAACTATATTAATTAACATGTGTTATTAATTAACTATAGATGTTATAATCTAATTAGATGTTATATTATCTACTTTTGATATATATATATATAATATCACTTATACAGCACCATATGCCTATACCATATATATACAGAACCTATTATGAATATACACAGCACATATACTGTATCATATACCTATAGAAAACCTATATCTACAATACACACATCACCTATTCAATTTGCAAATTTTTCGTGGAACTGACGAACGTATCGCCTGCGGGTATCGTGTGCACTCCATCTCTCTCACATTGATTCTCTCTCTCCCTCTCCCCCTCTCTCTCCATGTCTCTCACACTGATTCTCTCTCTCCCTCTCTCCCTCTCTCTCCATCTCTCTCACATTGATTCTCTCTCTTCCTCTCTCCCTCTCTCTCCATCTCTCTCACACTGATTCTCTCTCTCTCTCTCTCCCCCTCTCTCTCCATCTCTCTCACACTGATTCTCTCTCTC